ACAAGTGCAAGCAGGGCTGTAGCAAGTATAATGCTTTGCTATAAGCACCTGGATGATGATGCTCTTTTGTACAAGCTTTTCTACATGCTGTGCCCTTGATTAGAAAAAAGCAGTACTAAATAGTGTTATTAATGGAAACATAAAGATATAAGCAGAACTTTTTTTCAACAAAACAGACCACCAAGCCAGAGAAAAGAAAGATGTTTTTATGTGTCTTGAACTATAAAGAGACATTTAACTCCTCTAAACTTTACCAGCATTCCTTCCAACTACCATTCCATGACTGAACATAGTCACAAATGCCCAAATGTGAAAATAATAAGAACAAAGTTGCCACAATATGTACAGGATTGGTTCTGCCCCTTTATTATTCCTAAAAACCCCCTCACAAACCCCACATCCCTATTTGGGGATAGTAATTGTGGGGAAGAGGAACTTGACACTCAAGAATGGGACAATGTGCTTTGCAAGAGTTGGGGAGGAATTACCTGGTTGAGATTTTAGGGGAACCAAAAGTGTGTTTTCTTTAATGAGTACTGTCCCTTTAACCCCTTCCTGACTGAGGCCTTTTTTCATTTTTTGCACCCATGTTATATTCCACATTTTAGGCCTGAAAATTACTTAAAACCCCCAAACATTATATATTTTCTGAATGCCAAGACCCTATAGAATAAAATAGTGGTAGTTGCAAATTTTTATGTTGCGCAATATTAGCGCAACTCCTTATTAAACCCCAACATTTAGTGAACAATTTAATTAAATGCCCCAAAACACAACAAAATACCCATTTGTTTAATGAAATATAAAAGATGAGGTTACAACGAGTAAAACGATACCCAACATGCCCAGGTTACAAATTGCGTGCGTCCGTGAAACGGCGAAAAACTGCAGTACCCCAAAAAGTCCATAGAAGACGCTTTAAAAGCCGCCACAGGTCATTAATTTAGAGATACCACAAAATACTGGCCCTAGAATTATTGCTCTCACTCCGGCGTGCGCGGCGATACCCAACATGTGTAGCGCGTTCGTGTTTTCATAAGTAGGCTCACCCGACGCGTGTTTACGTGGCGACGCGTATGCTCACGGGGCGGGGGACTATTAAATTTTTTTTATTAGCTCCCCGCGGACACCAAGGAAGCCGTTCCCGGGCCCGTAGGAGGGGCAATGGAGGCGGGAAGCACGGCAGCGGCGTCCGGCGGGGGGCGGCCCCTTCTACGGGACACAGAAGCGATCTGGCGACAGGTAAGTCGCCAGAATCGCTTCTGTTGTAAAGCCGACAGTCGGCTTTACAAGTTTAAACAGAGTTTACAAGAGTTTACAAGTTTAAACAGGCCCGATGCTGGCGACATACATTGTACGCCGTCAGTCACGAAGGGGTTAAAAAAGACCTTTGTTTTTGTTTACATATTTCATATGCATATTTAAAGAAAAAGAAAAAAATTGTATGGAGTTTCCCTTAAAATTTCAACCAGGTCTTTATCCGAGCATGCATCCTTGGTGGCCAAGAGAGAGAGGGCAGAAAGTGTACACTCTTCATCTTAACCACACCAGGTCACATATCTCTTAACATTGGGGAGTACCCTGCAAGGGGGGTGGCAAGCCTCCCAATTAAGCAGCACCGTGGCCCAAAGTTGAGGGACAAGGGCCTCTTTCCCACATTGCATTCCTATTCACTATAGCCCGTACAGTTCCCGAGGTTGGCCGAGCGGCTCAGTGGAGCCGAAGGCATATGCCTCGGCTCGACTGAGCCGAGGTGAAAGCCAAAACTGGCCAAACGGCCGGCCATTGGGCGGAGCCAGCTGTCATCTCACGGCTGGCTCCGGCCACTTGCAGAGAGATCAGCATCCCTGGTTAGCAGGTAACCAGGGATGCCATCTGTCATTACACACTGAAAACCCGGCGGGGCCGCTATGATATCACAGCTGCCTCCCTGGGTTCTCAGTGTATAATGACAGATGGCGTCCCTGGTTACATGGTAACCAGGGACACTGATCTGTCATTACTCTGCCGGACGTTCTGGGAGTCTAATACGGCTCCCGGCCGCCCATTCACTGCTGTTCGGCCTATTCTCATAGATGCCGAACAGCATTCGGCTCAGCTATTCTGCCCGGTACCTCTGTGGTACCGAGCAGAATAGAAAAACAATTCAAAAAGTAGAAAAAATTAAATAGATTAAAAATAAAAAACGATTGGGTGGAGCTAGCAGTGACAGTAAGTTCCGCCCAACTGTTTTCTATTGGCGGTTCTGCTGCCGACAGAATAAATACTGCATGTCCCCCTCTGCTGATTGACTGCAGCAGTGGGCGGATGCAATAGCTAGTTTGCTATTGGCTATTGCAAAGTTAAATAGCCAATAGGAATCTAGCTATGCATTCTTATGCTGGCTTTTTTTTCTGACTGAGGGCGGCCAGTGGACCCATGTCAGAAAAAAAAACAGATCGATCGAGCAGAGTAAACCTTTCCGGGAGAAAGTGTTTCTCTCCTGGGCGGCCGGGAGCCGTATTAGACTCCCAGAGCGTCCGGGAGAGTAATGACAGATCAGCGTCCCTGGTTATCAGGTAACCAGGGATGCCATCTGTCATTACACACTGAGAACATGGAGAGGCAGTTGTGATATCATAGTGGCCCCGCCAGGTTCTCTCTGCATCTCTCTGCAAGTGGCCAGAGCCAGCCGTGAGATGATGGCTGGCTCCGCCCAATGGCCGGCCGTGCGCCCCGTTTTGGCTTTCACCTCAGCTCAGTCGAGCCGAGGCATATGCCTTCGGCTCGACTGAGCCGCTCGGCCAACCTCGGGAACTGTACGGGCTATAGTGAATAGCCCGTACAGCAGCCCTTCGGTTCTACTGGGGCCGAAGCTAGCCGAAGGATCAGCCGAAGGTACGGCTAGATCCTTCGGCAGCTTAGTGAATAGACCCCTTAGTGTTTGCAGTGCAATTAGATAAACTAAAAAATAAGCAATAGGGCTATACCTGAGAACATTGTTGGGAATTTATCAAAACTGGAGCAGACAAAAACTGGAGCAGATTTGCACTGCAACCAATTAGATTCTCTGTCTCATTTTCAAATCTTAGCTGAGCAAACTAAAGAGAGATGCTGATTGGTTGCCATGGGCAACTGCTCCAGATTTGATAAATCTCCCCATTTTGTTTAACAAAATACCCATTTCATCGCTACTTTCTGGAATCCCTCCTCTAACCATCAACATGGACCTACTGTAAGATTCTAACCATTTACAAAGGTTATAAAACATATCTGGTATATTTTAACACCATGCTGCCTTTGCTTTTTGGAAAATGTTTAAATCTCGCTAGGGATATTGTTTAGGTTTGGAACAAAGTAGGATTCGGTCCAGGCTATGCCTGTTTGGTATTACTAATGCTGCCAAATGTGACAGCTTCCAGCTTAAGGCTCCTGGTTGCTAGAAAGCCAGCTGCCTCCATTTCCCAGATGCAACCTGTGGTGCATCTTTGCCCAACACCCTGCATCTGCTGGTTGGGAGATTCCGGGCCAGCAGCTGAATGTAAACTCCTAACACCTAACCGCAAACCCCTACATCTTCTTGGTGACCCAATATGGGGAAAAGGCCCTAATCAACATTGGGATAAGGGACATCACCAGGGGTATGTGGTCAGATAAGGTTGAGGAGAGGGGAAACCATATGCTTACTATCCCCCACTTTTTTGGCCTGAAAGGTTGCATGCTAGAATTAGGGTCTGCTATGGATTTTTAGGGGCAACCCCTCTATTTTATATTTTGTACAGAGCCGACCCTTAATATCCATATTAGATCCTAATCAAAGATAAGGGTCTAGTATTGATTTTGAGGGTTCACTACATTGTTTTTGTTGGTTTTTTTTTACTATGGTATCCTATAAAATCTGCAGGTACACCAATTTACAGTTACCGGTTTAAAGCATCCCCCAAGCCCGTTATTGCAAGGAGTTTAATGTTTAAGCATTAGTAAAAGAGCTGAACCCAGGTACATTTGGCTCATTACTAGTCAAGACACAGAACACTCTCATCATCAAGTGTCATAATTTTGTTTACACATTGTCAAAAGCATTGAGACGGCAACAAAGAGAAGTGTGTGGACACATAGATTACAAACCAATATAAATGTTGACAGGCAGAAATATCTGCAGTTTATGAATTTTAGTAACAAAGCCAGAGCTCTGCAATGCCAATACATCATAAACAACTAAAACTGCTGCAGCAACTTCATTACCTTTTAACCAAGCCATCAAATGGCTGAAATATTGATTCCTTTCAGTATATAATGGTGTTGATTTCAATAGAAAATAGGCATGAGTAAAATTGGACAATTTCACTTTAAAGAAATTTTAGCAAAATCTAAAGATGTAAAAGAAAAAGCACAAAAAATATTTGGGGCCTTTTCCTTCCATTATTTTTATAGAGCACATTTAAACATTTAAAGAGACAGCAGGAGCATGCACCCAGTGTTTTGCCATTTTGAAGCATTATTTATCACATTTATTTTTATGTGGTTTTTATCACATCCCGCATTCTCCTGATCAGTAAATTATGATTTTGCCTGCTGTGATGAAAAAAAAATACCCCAACAATGAGTAATATATATGGTCATTAATGATGTGCAACAATAAGCAAACCAGCACCTGAAGGTAATAATAAGTGGGCATGGCTGTTCTGATGTGTATTGAACACTTCAACTCATATTCATCATGTCTGCAGTGGAGATCTGTTGCCCCCTCTTGATGTACTCCCTTGCTAATCCTAGCCCTTCACTTCGTGCAGTTGTAACTTCCCATGGGTCAGCTGCAACCCTCTGGACACTCGGACAACAGTAAGTAACAGCACAGATCCAGACTGTCTAAACAGTTTGGTGCCAGGAGGCAAGGTCAAGCTTTTGCACTGCTTCTTCCTGTTTGAAACAGCACTGAATGTCCTACAAAATCCATATTTTAAGAAACTGCATATTAAATTTGTACCATAGGTCCAATCTTTTAAAACACCTATACTCACAATTATGGCAGGTCCCTCCCATGTATCCAGTGTCTGAGCAGTTGCAGTAAAAATCATTCCATGTTTGTGAACATTTTCCTCCATGCTCACAGTAGTTAGGAAAACATCTGAAAATATATATTTAAAAAAAACTGTTCTTATAAGCTTATTAAAAACAAAGAAGTGTTACTGATATATATATGCTAAGGTCAGAAACGCTAGAAAAAACACATTTTATTACGATGATTTGGAATAATACTGGAATGTAACATATAAAAAGTACTCAGTAAAGCTCATTAAAAAGAACAAAAGTGATAGCATATTTCAAAATTGCAGCTGTAAATGTCATTCTTGGCAATATTATGGTTCATAATTTAATACCCAATATAACACAAAATAATGATCCACACAGAACAAATTTGTCCTGGTTTGCAGGTCTGATTAGCATCAGATCAATCATAGACAATTAACTGCCAGCATAAAAATGGCTATTAAAAAATTATTAAAAGATATAGATTTTGAAGTTTCTTTTTGAATTGCTTCATTGCTGCAGTAGCCTTATTCGAAGTTCTGTTCTTTGCTTAATGTGCAATATTCTGTAATGGCTATTTCTTAGGTATTCTTGTCAAATAATGTGAATCCTAGTGGCCATATATTGAAGCCAATTAAAATACAAAGCCCTCACATAATGGTATTATACAAGCCTACATTTGAATAATAATATAAATAAGCCCCACTGTCTTTTTATTACAGTTCTAGGAACAATAAAAGAACAGTATGTCTATAGAACACGGGTGTCTCAAGGATATGTAAGTAAAAGATATGTTACAAAAATACCTACTAGGGATTTAAGTAGTGCATTCCTGGTAGGAGAATATTTTACATTTAATTTGAAAAGAAAACCCCTTCCTCATAATTTTTCCTATATAAGTGCACTCCTAGTAGCAAAATATTTTATTTTTGGACAACCTCTATAACACATTTTATTCCTGGTCATTTAGCACAGAGAAATCAAAATGTGCAGCCAGGCGTCACTTTCCTGCCTCACTTACTTTATTCACAACAGTCTTATTCCCAAGACATTTACTACAATTTTCGTTTCTCATGTTCAACCAATATTTGTTTTAGCTGATTATGGGAATTTGAAAAAAACCCTTCCTTGGATTATTTCCTATGTAAATGCACTCCGAGTAGGAAAATATTTTATATGACGATATATCCTAATTATGTATAGGAACCAATGCCGGTGTATTGCAAACTACAAGAAATATTCCTAGCAAGCTGGTTAGGAACTTAGGGATTCCTAACCAGGGGTATCCACACAACCTAGGGGTATAGGAACCAAATTATGGGGTTATGGGACTGGATGTATGAATATATATTACAAAATTGAAACACAATTCTCTGCTTTGCTACAATTTCTCTGGAAAATTGACTTGTCCATTGCTGTGGACACCATGAACGTGTCCATAGTATTTCAGAGGAGTTATGAGATGATCTCATAACTGAGATGGTTATCAAACTTATATTCTTACTTCTAACTAATTTTAAGAATTACATGACTTGCTTTTTTTGCAATCAGCCTTCCTTTAAAAAAAATAGCTTCAATTTCTTTTTTTAAATATCTGCCTGCCTTACAAAACATGGCACTTGCTGAGCACCATAAAAACTGTTACATTTTGTAAAAAAACGAGAGCTATAATTTATATTTTTCAGTTAAATGGATAAATCTATTTTATTGGGCCTTTGCAATATAATTAAGAAGAGATTTCAAGGACAAACTCTTTTTCCTAAGGGCTGAACTGTGTTAAAACAGATTTCTCCGAGTTGAAAAGTTGGTTTAGGGATCTAATAAAAGTCAAGGGAGATTTAGTGTAAACATAGGATGAAGAGAAAAAGCAATTTTCAACTCACTTTAAGGTCATAAGGATATTATTGATGTGTTAAGCTAAGAAAACTGTACCAAGAAGTAAAAAAGAAAGCTAAACTTGCAATAGAATGGTGTCAAGCACTGACTAAGGTTCACGTTAGCAGCTTAGAGAAAAAAGTGAGTCTTAAGAGGAAGCAGGTTACAAAAAAGTCACAAAACACATTTTTCAGTCAATGGTGAATCACTCCTAGTCCAGAATGAACACAAGCATCTCCCTTCATACAAACAGTCAGAAGCCAGTGCATGTTTAATCATTAATAATTTGCATTACAATGCAAGAACAAGAATTTATAACTAAACTGTGTTGGTAAATTCCTTGCCGCTAACAAAAACAATGTACGTATATGTGGTGAGCAAGTGACATTTTGCCGTTTTTTTCTTCTGTTTTTAAAGATACGCGCTAATGGTTTTACTCACTAATGAAAAGAAACATTATCTGTTGCAGATTTTTTCAATGTTACAAGATCGGTTTTGTACCCTTATCACTTCCAAATCATCTATAGTACCAGGTCCTTTATCTTTGTACATAATTCAAAGGAACCACAGAACACATCAGGAGATGCAGGTATCCAACACACTTCTGTGATGATTTTTTGAGTGGCTTTGCTCTGCAGTGGAGCAAAGATTCTACAAGCGTGCTTCAGGACAATAAGGAAAGAGTGTCTTTTTTTACAGGTGCTTTCTTTATTTTATATTTCAGCATCAGAGTTTCTTAAATGAAGTCTAGCGCAGATCAGCCTCCTACTATAACCTTGCAACTTGTTACAAAGTTATAGTCAGAGTGATGACTGTGGGACAATGGGAATTTTTTTTAGTCTACAGTAGAATGATACAATTCTTCCTGATTCTTCTTTTCTGCCTAGCCAAAAGTTCAATAACTGCTTTCTAATGATAAAAGACACAGCTTTAATAAAAATTAAAAACAAAATCATAATGTTATATATGGTGTAATTCCAGTAGTTGATTGCAGATGTGAAAACTTACTGATAGGTCCACCTTTATACAGTGCAGTAAGTCAATGCAAGAAATCACAAATACTGGCTGGCTGCAATTGTGCTGCCTTAAACTTGCTTTATACTTGCTTTACTGGACATGCAGGAATGGTGCACAGACAACAAAGAAATAAATTAGTCTGTATAGCTGAAAACCAAATTCCTTCCTACAATTAACCCCGATGTTCTCCAGGCTGGATTCTGGTCCCAGTAGTTTTCCTGTCTGAAGTCAAGAGTCACAGCTCCCGACTAAATGTCTGTCCCCTGCCTCCCATCATGTGCAGTGGGATACCTGGAAAGAAGGAAGGAGTATAGTCCAAATAGTATAACCTTTTTCACCCACCATACAGCTTCTTCAGGTACTACTATATAGAGGGCAAATACTCTGTTCCTTGGCCACCTTTCTGTGGCCTCCGATTTAAAGAACCCATATTGGGCACCTCCTCTACCTACCTTGGACCCAGATCCCAAAGATAGTTTAAAAAATAAACATTTTTGAGCTGTTAGGCATGTTCGCATACAAGGAAACTTTTGGTTCTCAATTCGTGAATGATGGGTCTGAATCTAATTTCTACGGATACCTATTCTCATCTCTAGTGTACATGTTCCTCTTTTATGTTACATTTCCTGTTAAAAATAAACTAAGATTTGTGCCATTAACATATATGAATTCATATATGCATTCATCAGTCATGACCTCCATTAATCGTGAATAGATGTGTGCAATTTACATGTTCTAGGTGTATAATATTTGGAAAACAATATTTCAAGCTCACTGAAACTATATCTTGCCTTTTTTATGTTTCATACACATCCACAGGAATGTATTAAAGGATAGTACAAATTCGATTTCTCCATGTGGCATTTTTGATTTATGTGAGAGAGGTCTGCATTCTAAGTTAACATTTGGTGATGCCATTAGCAGGGAGTGCAGGTTTGGATGCTAGCATGAGAGCTATTAATCAAGCTAGTCAGGCCCTTCCTAAGGGTGACACCACAAACCCTTTTACTGTAATGAGTTTCCGACCACAATGCACTGGCATCTAAGCTCATGTTATTTCATTCATGGTACTTCATTATACACATCAAATACATATTTTGTCACAGATAGATATGAGTAACAGATATTAATGTATAGATATTGATTATTTCATTTTACTTGCAAGCATTGCATCTAGCGTATAGAAATAAACTGCAAGATATTATATAGCCTGCATTTTTATACTGTAATGTTAGGAATCTATTTTTTGTTTTCTTTTTTTAAGCTAAGTGAATTTTCTGCAAGCTGCACTGAGATCTCAAATGATGTTATCTGCTTCCTGAGCTATTATCCCAGGATGACAATACTGCTCCTCCATAGATACAGTTTGGTGAGTGCTGTCAGGATATGACAGGACATGTGTTACTGGTAGGGTCACCAGGTGAAAATAAAGTGAAAAGCATCAAAAAGGAAACTTAATGCAGCCACCACAATAAGGGATCATGCACAAAGGTGAAAGTGCCGGCATATAGGTATTCAGCTTAAAATAGTCCTTTATTTATGGCACCCCGGAGTTCCAGCTGCTGCATTTTTCTCTCCATAGGCTTGTATAGACAGAAAGCTCTCAATGCAGGTGTACGCATGTAAATGCTGGTAACGGAATTTACACATGCTTGTGCCCATGCATACAGCATTTCCATGTACAGGCAGGCCTATGAACAGAAAAACACAGCAGCTGGAGCTCCTGGGTGCTGCAAATGCAAGCGTATGTGTGCCCATGTGCATGATCCCTTAAGAACTTAGTAAATCAATGAAAGTTGTGTTAGCTTCCCTAATACAATTATGTACTAACAAAAAACTATTTCCATTGCACAAGTAAAAGCAGGTTCATTATATTTACTATTATACACTTGCAAAATGAAGATACACCATGAAAGTGAACATTCACTTACCTAAAGGAACAGCTTCCCTCTTTAGTAACTCAGCTCCTATGCTTTCACTGATATTGATGAAATATGAAACTACAGGAAATGAAATTAAATCTCTCCAAAGTGAATGGAATTCCCAAATTAGAGAACTGTCACAAGAACATTCAAGGATTTTCCCTCACCTCTTGCTTTGGTAACAAAAACATTTTGGATTTGTCCTAATCTTCTGTCTCAGTGACAATGATCACACAAAAAGCGAAAAAAACTTGATAAAGGATTTAACCCCTCTCTGCACTCA